AGTGTGATTTGCAGCTAACCAATCTGCAGAATTGATCAGGCTTTTGAAGTTCTCTGATTGAAGGATTAACATTCAGAACTCAGTTGTGCATTGTGCAAGCCCTGGTACATGGCATTTGAGAATTCTACCACTAAACCATCAATCCTTCCTTATCTTAAAGAATCAATGACTTTGCAGAGTGTGCTTTTCAGGTAAGTATTGTGCCGCTTCAGCTATTTGGTTTAAAATTGTACAGTAGCATCTCTTGAAGAATCAAACTCTTATCTCAAACAATCAATGACAACGCAGAGTGAGCTTTTCAGGTAAGTATTGTGCTGATTCAGCCATGTGTTTTAAAATTGTAAAGTAGCATCTCTTGTATATTTCAGCAGCATGGGGTTTGTCCACCACCCTAGTTTGGGCAGAATTGATAAAGCATGTCAATTTCTTTGCCAGAAGGCTCAATGTTCAAAATTCGCTTGTGCATTGGCTGGGAATCGAACCCAGGTCTCCAACATGGCAAGCTAGAATTATACCACTGAACCACCAATGCTTGTCTTTAAGTTCGAAAGGACTTCACAGAGTGTGATTTGCAGCTAACCATACTGCAGAATTGATAAGTTTAATGAAGTTCTGTGAGTGAAGACTAAATATTCAAGATTCACTTGTGCATTGGCTGGGAATTGAACCCAGGTCTCCAACATGGCAAGCTAGAATTCTACCACTGAAACACCAATGCTTACCTTCAAGTTCAAAAGACTTCTCAGAGTGTGATTTGCAGCTAGCCAAACTCAGAATTGATCAGGCTTTTGAAGTTCTGTGAGTGAAGGATTCATATTCAGAACTCAGTTGTGCATTGTGCAAGGCCTGGTACATGGCATTTGAGAATTCTACCACTAAACAATCAATCTTTCCTTATCTTAAAGAATCAATGACTTTGCAGAGTGTGCTTTTCAGGTAAGTATTGTGCCGCTTCAGCTATTTGGTTTAAAATTGTACAGTAGCATCTCTTGAAGAATCAAACTCTTATCTCAAACAATCAATGACAACGCAGAGTGAGCTTTTCAGGTAAGTATTGTGCTGATTCAGCCATGTGGTTTAAAATTGTAAAGTAGCATCTCTTGTATATTTCAGCAGCATGGAGTTTGTCCACCACCCTAGTTTGGGCAGAATTGATAAAGCATGTCAATTTCTTTGCCAGAAGGCTCAATGTTCAAAATTCACTTGTGCATTGGCTGGGAATCGAACCCAGGTCTCCAACATGGCAAGCTAGAATTCTACCACTGAACCACCAATGCTAGTCTTTAAGTTCAAAGGACTTCACAGAGTGTGATTTGCAGCTAACCATACTGCAGAATTGATAAGTTTAATGAAGTTCTGTGAGTGAAGACTAAATATTCAAGATCCACTTGTGCATTGGCTGGGAATCGAACCCAGGCCTCCAACATGGCAAGCTAGAATTCTACCACTGAACCACCAATGCTTACCTTCAAGCTCAAACGACTTCTCAGAGTGTGATTTGCAGCTAACCAAACTGCAGAATTGATCAGGCTTTTGAAGTTCTGTGAGTGAAGGATTAATATTCAGAACTCAGTTGTGCATTGTGCAAGGCCTGGTACATGGCATTTGAGAATTCTACCACTAAACCATCAATCCTTCCTTATCTTAAAGAATCAATGACTTTGCAGAGTGTGCTTTTCAGGTAAGTATTGTGCCGCTTCAGCTATTTGGTTTAAAATTGTACAGTAGCATCTCTTGAAGAATCAAACTCTTATCTCAAACAATCAATGACAACGCAGAGTGAGCTTTTCAGTTAAGTATTGTGCTGATTCAGCCATGTGGTTTAAAATTGTAAAGTAGCATCTCTTGTATATTTCAGCAGCATAGAGTTTGTCCACCACCCTAGTTTGGGCAGAATTGATAAAGCTTGTCAATTTCTTTGCGCGAAGGCTAATGTTCAAAATTTGCTTGTGCGTGTTGGCGAATCAAACCCAGGTCTCCAACATGGCAAGCTAGAATTCTACCACTGAAACACCAATGCTTACCTTCAAGTTCAAAAGACTTCTCAGAGTGTGATTTGCAGCTAACCAAACTGCAGAATTGATCAGGCTTTTGAAGTTCTGTGATTGAAGGATTAATATTCAGAACTCAGTTGTGCATTGTGCAAGGCCTGGTACATGGCATTTGAGAATTCTACCACTAAACAATCAATCCTTCCTTATCTTAAAGAATCAATGACTTTGCAGAGTGTGCTTTTCAGGTAAGTATTGTGCCGCTTCAGCTATTTGGTTTAAAATTGTACAGTAGCATCTCTTGAAGAATCAAACTCTTATCTCAAACAATCAATGACAACGCAGAGTGAGCTTTTCAGGTAAGTATTGTGCTGATTCAGCCATGTGGTTTAAAATTGTGAAGTAGCATCTCTTGTATATTTCAGCAGCATGGAGATTGTCCAACACCCTAGTTTGGGCAGAATTGATAATGCATGTCAGTTTCTTTGCCAGAAGGCTCAATGTTCAAAATTCGCTTGTGCATTGGCTGGCAATCGAACCCAGGTCTCCAACATGGCAAGTTAGAATTCTACCACTGAACCACCAATGCTTGTCTTTAAGTTCAAAGGACTTCACAGAGTGTGATTTGCAGCTAACCATACTGCAGAATTGATAAGTTTAATGAAGTTCTGTGAGTGAGGACTAAATATTCAAGATTCACTTGTGCATTGGCTGGGAATTGAACCCAGGTCTCCAACATGGCAAGCTAGAATTCTACCACTGAAACACCAATGCTTACCTTCAAGTTCAAAAGACTTCTCAGAGTGTGATTTGCAGCTAACCAAACTGCAGAATTGATCAGGCTTTTGAAGTTCTGTGAGTGAAGGATTAATATTCAGAACTCAGTTGTGCATTGTGCAAGGCCTGGTACATGGCATTTGAGAATTCTACCACTAAACCATCAATCCTTCCTTATCTTAAAGAATCAATGACTTTGCAGAGTGTGCTTTTCAGGTAAGTATTGTGCCGCTTCAGCTATTTGGTTTAAAATTGTACAGTAGCATCTCTTGAAGAATCAAACTCTTATCTCAAACAATCAATGACAACGCAGAGTGAGCTTTTCAGGTAAGTATTGTGCCGCAACAGCTATTTGGTTTAAAATTGTACAGTTGCATCTCTTGAAGAATCAAACTCTTATCTCAAACAATCAATGACAACGCAGAGTGAGCTTTTCAGGTAAGTATTGTGCTGATTCAGCCATGTGGTTTAAAATTGTAAAGTAGCATCTCTTGTATATTTCAGCAGCATGGAGTTTGTCCAAAACCCTAGTTTGGGCAGAATTGATAAAGCATGTCAATTTCTTTGCGAGAAGGCACAATGTTCAAAATTTGCTTGTGCATTGGCTGGGAATCGAACCCAGGCCTCCAACATGGCAAGCTAGAATTCTACCACTGAACCACCAATGCTTACCTTCAAGTTCAGACGATTTCTCAGAGTGTGATTTGCAGCTAACCAATCTGCAGAATTGATCAGGCTTTTGAAGTTCTGTGATTGAAGGATTAACATTCAGAACTCAGTTGTGCATTGTGCAAGCCCTGGTACATGGCATTTGAGAATTCTACCACTAAACCATCAATCCTTCCTTATCTTAAAGAATCAATGACTTGGCAGAATGTGCTTTTCAGGTAAGTATTGTGCCGCTTCAGCTATTTGGTTTAAAATTGTACAGTAGCATCTCTTGAAGAATCAAACTCTTAACTCAAACAATCAATGACAACGCAGAGTGAGCTTTTCAGTTAAGTATTGTGCTGATTCAGCCATGTGGTTTAAAATTGTAAAGTAGCATCTCTTGTATATTTCAGCAGCATGGAGATTGTCCAACACCCTAGTTTGGGCAGACTTGATAAAGCATGTCAATTTCTTTGCCAGAAGGCTCAATGTTCAAAATTCGCTTGTGCATTGGCTGGGAATCAAACCCAGGTCTCCAACATGGCAAGCTAGAATTCTACCACTGAACCACCAATGCTTGTCTTTAATTTCAAAGGACTTCACAGAGTGTGATTTGCAGCTAACCATAGTGCAGAATTGATAAGTTTAATGAAGTTCTGTGAGTGAAGACTAAATATTCAAAATTCACTTGTGCATTGGCTGGGAATCAAACCCAGGTCTCCAACATGGCAAGCTAGAATTCTACCAGTGAAACACCAATGCTTAGCTTCAAGTTCAAACAACTTCTCAGAGTGTGATTTGCAGCCAACCAAACTGCAGAATTGATCAGGCTTTTGAAGTTCTGTGAGTGAAGGATTAATATTCAGAACTCAGTTGTGCATTGTGCAAGGCCTGGTACATGGCATTTGAGAATTCTACCACTAAACAATCAATCCTTCCTTATCTTAAAGAATCAATGACTTTGCAGAGTGTGCTATTCAGGTAAGTATTGTGCCGCTTCAGCTATTTGGTTTAAAATTGTACAGTAGCATCTCTTGAAGAATCAAACTCTTATCTCAAACAATCAATGACAACGCAGAGTGAGCTTTTCAGGTAAGTATTGTGCCGCTTCAGCTATTTGGTTTAAAATTGTACAGTTGCATCTCTTGAAGAATCAAACTCTTATCTCAAACAATCAATGACAACGCAGAGTGAGCTTTTCAGTTAAGTATTGTGCTGATTCAGCCATGTGGTTTAAAATTGTAAAGTAGCATCTCTTGTATATTTCAGCAGCATGGAGTTTGTCCACCACCCTAGTTTTGGCAGAATTGATAAAGCTTGTCAATTTCTTTGCCAGAAGGCTCAATATTCAAAATTCACTTGTGCATTGGCTGGGAATCAAACCCAGGTCTCCAACATGGCAAGCTAGAATTCTACCACTGAACCACCAATGCTTGTCTTTAAGTTCAAAGGACTTCACAGAGTGTGATTTGCAGCTAACCAAACTGCAGAATTGATCAGGCTTTTGAAGTTCTGTGAGTGAAGGATTGATAAGTTTAATGAAGTTCTGTGAGTGAAGACTAAATATTCAAGATTCACTTGTGCATTGGCTGGGAATCAAACCCAGGTCTCCAACATGTCAAGCTAGAATTCTACCAGTGAAACACCAATGCTTACCTTCAAGTTCAAACCCAGGCCTCCAACATGGCAAGCTAGAATTCTACCACTGAACCACCAATGCTTGTCTCTAAGTTCAAAGGACTTCGCAGAGTGTGATTTGCAGCTAACCATACTGCAGAATTGATAAGTTTAATGAAGTTCTGTGAGTGAAGACTAAATATTCAAGATCCACTTGTGCATTGGCTGGGAATCGAACCCAGGCCTCCAACATGGCAAGCTAGAATTCTACCACTGAACCACCAATGCTTACCTTCAAGCTCAAACGACTTCTCAGAGTGTGATTTGCAGCTAACCAAACTGCAGAATTGATCAGGCTTTTGAAGTTCTGTGAGTGAAGGATTAATATTCAGAACTCAGTTGTGCATTGTGCAAGGCCTGGTACATGGCATTTGAGAATTCTACCACTAAACCATCAATCCTTCCTTATCTTAAAGAATCAATGACTTTGCAGAGTGTGCTTTTCAGGTAAGTATTGTGCCGCTTCAGCTATTTGGTTTAAAATTGTACAGTAGCATCTCTTGAAGAATCAAACTCTTATCTCAAACAATCAATGACAACGCAGAGTGTGCTTTTCAGGTAAGTATTGTGCCGCAACAGCTATTTGGTTTAAAATTGTACAGTAGCATCTCTTGAAGAATCAAACTCTTATCTCAAACAATCAATGACAACGCAGAGTGAGCTTTTCAGGTAAGTATTGTGCTGATTCAGCCATGTGGTTTAAAATTGTAAAGTAGCATCTCTTGTATATTTCAGCAGCATGGAGTTTGTCCACCACCCTAGTTTGGGCAGAATTGATAAAGCTTGACAATTTCTTTGCGAGAAGGCTGAATGTTCAAAATTTGCTTGTGCGTTGGCTAGGAATCGAACCCAGGTCTCCAACATGGCAAGCTAGAATTCTACCACTGAACCACCAATGCTTGTCTTTAAGTTCAAAGGACTTCACAGAGTGTGATTTGCAGCTAACCATACTGCAGAATTGATAAGTTTAATGAAGTTCTGTGAGTGAAGACTAAATATTCAAGATCCACTTGTGCATTGGCTGGGAATCGAACTCAGGCCTCCAACATGGCAAGCTAGAATTCTACCACTGAACCACCAATGCTTACCTTCAAGCTCAAACGACTTCTCAGAGTGTGATTTGCAGCTAACCAAACTGCAGAATTGATCAGGCTTTTGAAGTTCTGTGAGTGAAGGATTAATATTCAGAACTCAGTTGTGCATTGTGCAAGGCCTGGTACATGGCATTTGAGAATTCTACCACTAAACCATCAATCCTTCCTTATCTTAAAGAATCAATGACTTTGCAGAGTGTGCTTTTCAGGTAAGTATTGTGCCGCTTCAGCTATTTGGTTTAAAATTGTACAGTAGCATCTCTTGAAGAATCAAACTCTTATCTCAAACAATCAATGACAACGCAGAGTGAGCTTTTCAGGTAAGTATTGTGCTGATTCAGCCATGTGGTTTAAAATTGTAAAGTAGCATCTCTTGTATATTTTAGCAGCATGGAGGTTGTCCGAAACCCTTCTTTGGGCAGAATTGACAAAGCATGTCAATTTCTTTGCGAGAAGGCTCAATGTCCAAAATTCGCTTGTGCATTGGCTGGAAATCGAACCCAGGCATCCAACATGGAAAGCTAGAATTCTACCACTGAACCACCAACGCTTACCTTCAAGTTCAAATGATTTCTCAGAGTGTGATTTGCAGCTAACCAATCTGCAGAATTGATCAGGCTTTTGAAGTTCTGTGATTGAAGGATTAATATTCAGAACTCAGTTGTGCATTGTGCAAGGCCTGGTACATGGCATTTGAGAATTCTACCACTAAACAATCAATCCTTCCTTATCTTAAAGAATCAATGACTTTGCAGAGTGTGCTTTTCAGGTAAGTATTGTGCCGCTTCAGCTATTTGGTTTAAAATTGTACAGTAGCATCTCTTGAAGAATCAAACTCTTATCTCAAACAATCAATGACAACGCAGAGTGAGCTTTTCAGGTAAGTATTGTGCTGATTCAGCCATGTGGTTTAAAATTGTAAAGTAGCATCTCTTGTATATTTCAGCAGCATGGAGTTTGTCCAAAACCCTAGTTTGGGCAGAATTGATAAAGCATGTCAATTTCTTTGCGAGAAGGCTCAATGTTCAAAATTCACTTGTGCATTGGCTGGGAATCGAACCCAGGCCTCCAACATGGCAAGCTAGAATTCTACCACTGAACCACCAATGCTTACCTTCAAGTTCAAACGATTTCTCAGAGTGTGATTTGCAGCTAACCAATCTGCAGAATTGATCAGGCTTTTGAAGTTCTGTGAGTGAAGGATTCATATTCAGAACTCAGTTGTGCATTGTGCAAGGCCTGGTACATGGCATTTGAGAATTCTACCACTAAACAATCAATCCTTCCTTATCTTAAAGAATCAATGACTTTGCAGAGTGTGCTTTTCAGGTAAGTATTGTGCCGCTTCAGCTATTTGGTTTAAAATTGTACAGTAGCATCTCTTGAAGAATCAAACTCTTATCTCAAACAATCAATGACAACGCAGAGTGAGCTTTTCAGGTAAGTATTGTGCTGATTCAGCCATGTGGTTTAAAATTGTAAAGTAGCATCTCTTGTATATTTCAGCAGCATAGAGTTTGTCCACCACCCTAGTTTGGGCAGAATTATTAAAGCTTGTCAATTTCTTCGCGAGAAGGCTGAATGTTCAAAATTTGCTGTGCGCATTGGCTGGGAATCAAACCCAGGTCTCCAACATGGCAAGCTAGAATTCTACCACTGAAACACCAATGCTTACCTTCAAGTTCAAAAGACTTCTCAGAGTGTGATTTGCGCAAACCAAACTGCAGAATTGATCAGGCTTTTGAAGTTCTGTGAGTGAAGGATTAATATTCAGAACTCAGTTGTGCATTGTGCAAGGCCTGGTACATGGCATTTGAGAATTCTACCACTAAACCATCAATCCTTCCTTATCTTAAAGAATCAATGACTTTGCAGAGTGTGCTTTTCAGGTAAGTATTGTGTGCGCTTCAGTTATTTGGTTTAAAATTGTACAGTAGCATCTCTTGAAGAATCAAACTCTTATCTCAAACAATCAATGACAACGCAGAGTGTGCTTTTCAGGTAAGTTGGGGCGCATCAGCTATTTGGTTTAAAATTGTACAGTAGCATCTCTTGAAGAATCAAACTCTTATCTCAAACAATCAATGACAACGCAGAGTGAGCTTTTCAGGTAAGTATTGTGCTGATTCAGCCATGTGGTTTAAAATTGTAAAGTAGCATCTCCTGTATATTTCAGCAGCATGGAGTTTGTCCAAAACCCTAGTTTGGGCAGAATTGATAAAGCATGTCAATTTCTTTGCGAGAAGGCTCAATGTTCAAAATTTGCTTGTGCATTGGCTGGGAATCGAACCCAGGCCTCCAACATGGCAAGCTAGAATTCTACCACTGAACCACCAATGCTTACCTTCAAGTTCAAACGATTTCTCAGAGTGTGATTTGCAGCTAACCAATCTGCAGAATTGATCAGGCTTTTGAAGTTCTGTGATTGAAGGATTAACATTCAGAACTCAGTTGTGCATTGTGCAAGCCCTGGTACATGGCATTTGAGAATTCTACCACTAAACCATCAATCCTTCCTTATCTTAAAGAATCAATGACTTGGCAGAGTGTGCTTTTCAGGTAAGTTTTGTGCCGTCACGCTATTTGGTTTAAAATTGTACAGTAGCATCTCTTGAAGAATCAAACTCTTATCTCAAACAATCAATGACAACGCAGAGTGAGCTTTTCAGTTAAGTATTGTGCTGATTCAGCCATGTGGTTTAAAATTGTAAAGTAGCATCTCTTGTATATTTCAGCAGCATAGAGTTTGTCCACCACCCTAGTTTGGGCAGAATTGATAAAGCTTGTCAATTTCTTGCGAGAAGGCTGAATGTTCAAAATTTGCTTGTTGCGTGGGAATCAAACCCAGGTCTCCAACATGGCAAGCTAGAATTCTACCACTGAAACACCAATGCTTACCTTCAAGTTCAAAAGACTTCTCAGAGTGTGATTTGCAGCTAACCAAACTGCAGAATTGATCAGGCTTTTGAAGAAGTCCGTGAGTGAAGGATTAATATTCAGAACTCAGTTGTGCATTGTGCAAGGCCTGGTACATGGCATTTGAGAATTCTACCACTAAACCATCAATCCTTCCTTATCTTAAAGAATCAATGACTTTGCAGAGTGTGCTTTTCAGGTAAGTATTGTGCCGCTTCAGTTATTTGGTTTAAAATTGTACAGTAGCATCTCTTGAAGAATCAAACTCTTATCTCAAACAATCAATGACAACGCAGAGTGTGCTTTTCAGGTAAGTATTGTGCCGCATCAGCTATTTGGTTTAAAATTGTACAGTAGCATCTCTTGAAGAATCAAACTCTTATCTCAAACAATCAATGACAATGCAGAGTGAGCTTTCTCAGGTATTGTATTGTGCTGATTCAGCCATGTGGTTTAAAATTGTAAAGTAGCATCTCTTGTATATTTCAGCAGCATAGAGTTTGTCCACCACCCTAGTTTGGGCAGAATTGATAAAGCTTGTCAATTTCTTTGCGAGAAGGCTGAATGTTCAAAATTTGCTTGTGCGTTGGCTGGGAAAGAAACCCAGGTCTCCAACATGGCAAGCTAGAATTCTACCACTGAACCACCAATGCTTGTCTTTAAGTTCAAAGGACTTCACAGAGTGTGATTTGCAGCTAACCATACTGCAGAATTGATAAGTTTAATGAAGTTCTGTGAGTGAAGACTAAATATTCAAGATTCACTTGTGCATTGGCTGGGAATTGAACCCAGGTCTCCAACATGGCAAGCTAGAATTCTACCACTGAACCACCAATGGTTACCTTCAAGTTCAAACGATTTCTCAGAGTGTGATTTGCAGCTAACCAATCTGCAGAATTGATCAGGCTTTTGAAGTTCTGTGAGTGAAGGATTAATATTCAGAACTCAGTTGTGCATTGTGCAAGGCCTGGTACATGGCATTTGAGAATTCTACCACTAAACAATCAATCCTTCCTTATCTTAAAGAATCAATGACTTTGCAGAGTGTGCTTTTCGGTAAGTATTGCCGCTTCACTATTTGGTTAAAATTGTACAGTAGATTTTGGAATACTCTTATCTCAACATCAATCAGGTAGCTTTTCAGGTAAGTATTGTGCCGCAACAGCTATTTGGTTTAAAATTGTACAGTTGCATCTCTTGAAGAATCAAACTCTTATCTCAAACAATCAATGAGAACGCAGAGTGAGCTTTTCAGGTAAGTATTGTGCTGATTCAGCCATGTGGTTTAAAATTGTAAAGTAGCATCTCTTGTATATTTCAGCAGCATGGAGTTTGTCCAAAACCCCTAGTTTGGGCAGAGTTGATAAAGCATGTCAATTTCTTTGCGAGAAGGCTCAATGTTCAAAATTCACTTGTGCATTGGCTGGGAATTGAACCAAGCAGGCCTCCAACATGGCAAGCTAGAATTCTACCACTGAACCACCAATGCTTGTCTTTAAGTTCAAAGGACTTCACAGAGTGTGATTTGCAGCTAACCATACTGCAGAATTGATAAGTTTAATGAAGTTCTGTGAGTGAAGACTAAATATTCAAGATCCACTTGTGCATTGGCTGGGAATCGAACCCAGGCCTCCAACATAGCAAGCTAGAATTCTACCACTGAACCACCAATGCTTACCTTCAAGCTCAAACGACTTCTCAGAGTGTGATTTACAGCTAACCAAACTGCAGAATTGATCAGGCTTTTGAAGTTCTGTGAGTGAAGGATTAATATTCAGAACTCAGTTGTGCATTGTGCAAGGCCTGGTACATGGCATTTGAGAATTCTACCACTAAACCATCAATCCTTCCTTATCTTAAAGAATCAATGACTTTGCAGAGTGTGCTTTTCAGGTAAGTATTGTGCCGCTTCAGCTATTTGGTTTAAAATTGTACAGTAGCATCTCTTGAAGAATCAAACTCTTATCTCAAACAATCAATGACAACGCAGAGTGAGCTTTTCAGGTAAGTATTGTGCTGATTCAGCCATGTGGTTTAAAATTGTAAAGTAGCATCTCTTGTATATTTCAGCAGCATGGGGTTTGTCCACCACCCTAGTTTGGGCAGAATTGATAAAGCATGTCAATTTCTTTGCCAGAAGGCTCAATGTTCAAAATTCACTTGTGCATTGGCTGGGAATCGAACCCAGGTCTCCAACATGGCAAGCTAGAATTCTACCACTGAACCACCAATGCTTGTCTTTAAGTTCAAAGGACTTCACTGGTACATGGCATTTGAGAATTCTACCACTAAACCATCAATCCTTCCTTATCTTAAAGAATCAATGACTTTGCAGAGTGTGCTTTTCAGGTAAGTATTGTGCCGCTTCAGTTATTTGGTTTAAAATTGTACAGTAGCATCTCTTGAAGAATCAAACTCTTATCTCAAACAATCAATGACAACGCAGAGTGTGCTTTTCAGGTAAGTATTGTGCCGCATCAGCTATTTGGTTTAAAATTGTACAGTTGCATCTCTTGAAGAATCAAACTCTTATCTCAAACAATCAATGACAACGCAGAGTGAGCTTTTCAGGTAAGTATTGTGCTGATTCAGCCATGTGGTTTAAAATTGTAAAGTAGCATCTCCTGTATATTTCAGCAGCATGGAGTTTGTCCAAAACCCTAGTTTGGGCAGAATTGATAAAGCATGTCAATTTCTTTGCGAGAAGGCTCAATGTTCAAAATTTGCTTGTGCATTGGCTGGGAATCGAACCCAGGCCTCCAACACGGCAAGCTAGAATTCTACCACTGAACCACCAATGCTTACCTTCAAGGTCAAACGATTTCTCAGAGTGTGATTTGCAGCTAACCAATCTGCAGAATTGATCAGGCTTTTGAAGTTCTGTGATTGAAGGATTAACATTCAGAACTCAGTTGTGCATTGTGCAAGCCCTAGTACATGGCATTTGAGAATTCTACCACTAAACCATCAATCCTTCCTTATCTTAAAGAATCAATGACTTGGCGAGTGTGCTTTTCAGGTAAGTATTGTGCCGCTCAGCTATTTGGTTTAAAATTGTACAGTAGCATCTCTTGAAGAATCAAACAATCAATGACAACGCAGAGTGAGCTTTTCAGGTAAGTATTGTGCTGATTCAGCCATGTGGTTTAAAATTGTAAAGTAGCATCTCTTGTATATTTCAGCAGCATGGAGTTTGTCCACCACCCTAGTTTGGGCAGAATTGATAAAGCATGTCAATTTTTTTAGCAAGGCTCAATGTTCAAAATTCGCTTGTGCATTGGCTGGGAATCGAACCCAGGCCTCCAACATGGCAAGCTAGAATTATACCACTGAACCACCAATGCTTACCTTCAAGGTCAAACGATTTCTCAGAGTGTGATTTGCAGCTAACCAATCTGCAGAATTGATCAGGCTTTTGAAGTTCTGTGATTGAAGGATTAACATTCAGAACTCAGTTGTGCATTGTGCAAGCCCTAGTACATGGCATTTGAGAATTCTACCACTAAACCATCAATCCTTCCTTATCTTAAAGAATCAATGACTTGGCAGAGTGTGCTTTTCAGGTAAGTTTGTGCCGCTTCAGCTATTTGCTATTTGTTATTAAACGTAGTAATCTCCTTGAAGAATCAAACAATCAATGACAACGCAGAGTGAGCTTTTCAGGTAAGTATTGTGCTGATTCAGCCATGTGGTTTAAAATTGTAAAGTAGCATCTCTTGTATATTTCAGCAGCATGGAGTTTGTCCACCACCCTAGTTTGGGCAGAATTGATAAAGCATTTCAATTTCTTTGCCAGAAGGCTGAATGTTCAAAATTCGCTTGTGCATTGGCTGGGAATCGAACCCAGGTCTCCAACATGGCAAGCTAGAATTCTACCACTGAACCACCAATGCTTGTCTCTAAGTTCAAAGGACTTCACAGAGTGTGATTTGCAGCTAACCATACTGCAGAATTGATAAGTTTAATGAAGTTCTGTGAGTGAAGACTAAATATTCAAGATTCACTTGTGCATTGGCTGGGAATCGAACCCAGGCCTCCAACATGGCAAGCTAGAATTCTACCACTGAACCACCAATGCTTACCTTCAAGCTCAAACGACTTCTCAGAGTGTGATTTGTAGCTAACCAAACTGCAGAATTGATCAGGCTTTTGAATTTCTGTGAGTGAAGGATTAATATTCAGAACTCAGTTGTGCATTGTGCAAGGCCTGGTACATGGCATTTGAGAATTCTACCACTAAACCATCAATCCTTCCTTATCTTAAAGAATCAATGACTTTGCAGAGTGTGCTTTTCAGGTAAGTATTGTGCCGCTTCAGCTATTTGGTTTAAAATTGTACAGTAGTATCTCTTGAAGAATCAAACTCTTATCTCAAACAATCAATGACTTTGCAGAGTGTGCTTTTCAGGTAAGTATTGTGCCGCTTCAGCTATTTGGTTTAAAATTGTACAGTAGCATCTCTTGAAGAATCAAACTCTTATCTCAAACAATCAATGAGAACGCAGAGTGAGCTTTTCAGGTAAGTATTGTGCTGATTCAGCCATGTGGTTTAAAATTGTAAAGTAGCATCTCTTGTATATTTCAGCAGCATGGAGTTTGTCCAAAACCCTAGTTTGGGCAGAATTGATAAAGCATGTCAATTTCTTTGCGAGAAGGCTCAATGTTCAAAATTCACTTGTGCATTGGCTGGGAATCGAACCCAGGCCTCCAACATGGCAAGCTAGAATTCTACCACTGAACCACCAATGCTTACCTTCAAGTTCAAACGATTTCTCAGAGTGTGATTTGCAGCTAACCAATCTGCAGAATTGATCAGGCTTTTGAAGTTCTGTGAGTGAAGGATTCATATTCAGAACTCAGTTGTGCATTGTGCAAGGCCTGGTACATGGCATTTGAGAATTCTACCACTAAACAATCAATCCTTCCTTATCTTAAAGAATCAATGACTTTGCAGAGTGTGCTTTTCAGGTAAGTATTGTGCCGCTTCAGCTATTTGGTTTAAAATTGTACAGTAGCATCTCTTGAAGAATCAAACTCTTATCTCAAACAATCAATGACAACGCAGAGTGAGCTTTTCAGGTAAGTATTGTGCTGATTCAGCCATGTGGTTTAAAATTGTAAAGTAGCATCTCTTGTATATTTCAGCAGCATAGAGTTTGTCCACCACCCTAGTTTGGGCAGAATTATTAAAGCTTGTCAATTTCTTTGCGAGAAGGCTGAATGTTCAAAATTTGCTTGTGCATTGGCTGGGAATCAAACCCAGGTCTCCAACATGGCAAGCTAGAATTCTACCACTGAAACACCAATGCTTACCTTCAAGTTCAAAAGACTTCTCAGAGTGTGATTTGCAGCTAACCAAACTGCAGAATTGATCAGGCTTTTGAAGTTCTGTGAGTGAAGGATTAATATTCAGAACTCAGTTGTGCATTGTGCAAGGCCTGGTACATGGCATTTGAGAATTCTACCACTAAACCATCAATCCTTCCTTATCTTAAAGAATCAATGACTTTGCAGAGTGTGCTTTTCAGGTAAGTATTGTGCCGCTTCAGTTATTTGGTTTAAAATTGTACAGTAGCATCTCTTGAAGAATCAAACTCTTATCTCAAACAATCAATGACAACGCAGAGTGTGCTTTTCAGGTAAGTATTGTGCCGCATCAGCTATTTGGTTTAAAATTGTACAGTAGCATCTCTTGAAGAATCAAACTCTTATCTCAAACAATCAATGACAACGCAGAGTGAGCTTTTCAGGTAAGTATTGTGCTGATTCAGCCATGTGGTTTAAAATTGTAAAGTAGCATCTCCTGTATATTTCAGCAGCATGGAGTTTGTCCAAAACCCTAGTTTGGGCAGAATTGATAAAGCATGTCAATTTCTTTGCGAGAAGGCTCAATGTTCAAAAATTTGTTTGTATTGGCTGGGAATCGAACCCAGGCCTCCAACATGGCAAGCTAGAATTCTACCACTGAACCACCAATGCTTACCTTCAAGTTCAAACGATTTCTCAGAGTGTGATTTGCGCAAACCAATCTGCAGAATTGATCAGGCTTTTGAAGTTCTGTGATTGAAGGATTAACATTCAGAACTCAGTTGTGCATTGTGCAAGCCCTGGTACATGGCATTTGAGAATTCTACCACTAAACCATCAATCCTTCCTTATCTTAAAGAATCAATGACTTGGCAGAGTGTGCTTTTCAGGTAAGTTTTGTGCCGCTTCCGCTATTTGGTTTAAAATTGTACAGTAGCATCTCTTGAAGAATCAAACTCTTATCTCAAACAATCAATGACAACGCGAGATGAGCTTTTCAGTTAAGTATTGTGCTGATTCAGCCATGTGGTTTAAAAATTGTAAAGTAGCTCTCTTGTATATTTCAGCAGCATAGAGTTTGTCCACCACCCTAGTTTGGGCAGAATTGATAAAGCTTGTCAATTTCTTTGCGAGAAGGCTGAATGTTCAAAATTTGTGGCGTTGGCTGGGAATCAAACCCAGGTCTCCAACATGGCAAGCTAGAATTCTACCACTGAAACACCAATGCTTACCTTCAAGTTCAAAAGACTTCTCAGAGTGTGATTTGCAGCTAACCAAACTGCAGAATTGATCAGGCTTTTGAAGTTCTGTGAGTGAAGGATTAATATTCAGAACTCAGTTGTGCATTGTGCAAGGCCTGGTACATGGCATTTGAGAATTCTACCACTAAACCATCAATCCTTCCTTATCTTAAAGAATCAATGACTTTGCAGAGTGTGCTTTTCAGGTAAGTATTGTGCCGCTTCAGTTATTTGGTTTAAAATTGTACAGTAGCATCTCTTGAAGAATCAAACTCTTATCTCAAACAATCAATGACAACGCAGAGTGTGCTTTTCAGGTAAGTATTGTGCCGCATCAGCTATTTGGTTTAAAATTGTACAGTAGCATCTCTTGAAGAATCAAACTCTTATCTCAAACAATCAATGACAATGCAGAGTGAGCTTTTCAGGTAAGTATTGTGCTGATTCAGCCATGTGGTTTAAAATTGTAAAGTAGCATCTCTTGTATATTTCAGCAGCATAGAGTTTGTCCACCACCCTAGTTTGGGCAGAATTGATAAAGCTTGTCAATTTCTTTGCGAGAAGGCTGAATGTTCAAAATTTGCTTGTGCGTTGGCTGGGAAAGAAACCCAGGTCTCCAACATGGCAAGCTAGAATTCTTCCACTGAACCACCAATGCTTGTCTTTAAGTTCAAAGGACTTCACAGAGTGTGATTTGCAGCTAACCATACTGCAGAATTGATAAGTTTAATGAAGTTCTGTGAGTGAAGACTAAATATTCAAGATTCACTTGTGCATTGGCTGGGAATTGAACCCAGGTCTCCAACATGGCAAGCTAGAATTCTACCACTGAACCACCAATGGTTACCTTCAAGTTCAAACGATTTCTCAGAGTGTGATTTGCAGCTAACCAATCTGCAGAATTGATCAGGCTTTTGAAGTTCTGTGAGTGAAGGATTAATATTCAGAACTCAGTTGTGCATTGTGCAAGGCCTGGTACATGGCATTTGAGAATTCTACCACTAAACAATCAATCCTTCCTTATCTTAAAGAATCAATGACTTTGCAGAGTGTGCTTTTCAGGTAAGTATTGTGCCGCTTCAGCTATTTGGTTTAAAATTGTACAGTAGCATCTCTTGAAGAATCAAACTCTTATCTCAAACAATCAATGACAACGCAGAGTGAGCTTTTCAGGTAAGTATTGTGCCGCAACAGCTATTTGGTTTAAAATTGTACAGTTGCATCTCTTGAAGAATCAAACTCTTATCTCAAACAATCAATGAGAACGCAGAGTGAGCTTTTCAGGTAAGTATTGTGCTGATTCAGCCATGTGGTTTAAAATTGTAAAGTAGCATCTCTTGTATATTTCAGCAGCATGGAGTTTGTCCAAAACCCTAGTTTGGGCAGAGTTGATAAAGCATGTCAATTTCTTTGCGAGAAGGCTCAATGTTCAAAATTCACTTGTGCATTGGCTGGGAATTGAACCAAGGCCTCCAACATGGCAAGCTAGAATTCTACCACTGAACCACCAATGCTTGTCTTTAAGTTCAAAGGACTTCACAGAGTGTGATTTGCAGCTAACCATACTGCAGAATTGATAAGTTTAATGAAGTTCTGTGAGTGAAGACTAAATATTCAAGATCCACTTGTGCATTGGCTGGGAATCGAACCCAGGCCTCCAACATAGCAAGCTAGAATTCTACCACTGAACCACCAATGCTTACCTTCAAGCTCAAACGACTTCTCAGAGTGTGATTTACAGCTAACCAAACTGCAGAATTGATCAGGCTTTTGAAGTTCTGTGAGGTAAGGATTAATATTCAGAACTCAGTTGTGCATTGTGCAAGGCCTGGTACATGGCATTTGAGAATTCTACCACTAAACCATCAATCCTTCCTTATCTTAAAGAATCAATGACTTTGCAGAGTGTGCTTTTCAGGTAAGTATTGTGCCGCTTCAGCTATTTGGTTTAAAATTGTACAGTAGCATCTCTTGAAGAATCAAACTCTTATCTCAAACAATCAATGACAAGCATGAGAGTGAGCTTTTCAGGTAAGTATTGTGCTGATTCAGCCATGTGGTTTAAAATTGTAAAGTAGCATCTCTTGTATATTTCAGCAGCATGGGGTTTGTCCACCACCCTAGTTTGGGCAGAATTGATAAAGCATGTCAATTTCTTTGCCAGAAGGCTCAATGTTCAAAAATTCACTTGTGCATTGGCTGGGAATCAAACCCCAGGTCTCCAACATGGCAAGCTAGAATTCTACCACTGAACCACCAATGCTTGTCTTTAAGTTCAAAGGACTTCACTGGTACATGGCATTTGAGAATTCTACCACTAAACCATCAATCCTTCCTTATCTTAAAGAATCAATGACTTTGCAGAGTGTGCTTTTCAGGTAAGTATGTGCCGCTTCAGTTATTTGGTTTAAAATTGTACAGTAGCATCTCTTGAAGAATCAAACTCTTATCTCAAACAATCAATGACAACGCAGAGTGTGCTTTTCAGGTAAGTATTGTGCCGCATCAGCTATTTGGTTTAAAATTGTACAGTTGCATCTCTTGAAGAATCAAACTCTTATCTCAAACAATCAATGACAACGCAGAGTGAGCTTTTCAGGTAAGTATTGTGCTGATTCAGCCATGTGGTTTAAAATTGTAAAGTAGCATCTCCTGTATATTTCAGCAGCATGGAGTTTGTCCAAAACCCTAGTTTGGGCAGAATTGATAAAGCATGTCAATTTCTTTGCGAGAAGGCTCAATGTTCAAAATTTGCTTGTGCATTGGCTGGGAATCGAACCCAGGCCTCCAACACGGCAAGCTAGAATTCTACCACTGAACCACCAATGCTTACCTTCAAGGTCAAACGATTTCTCAGAGTGTGATTTGCAGCTAACCAATCTGCAGAATTGATCAGGCTTTTGAAGTTCTGTGATTGAAGGATTAACATTCAGAACTCAGTTGTGCATTGTGCAAGCCCTAGTACATGGCATTTGAGAATTCTACCACTAAACCATCAATCCTTCCTTATCTTAAAGAATCAATGACTTGGCAGAGTGTGCTTTTCAGGTAAGTATTGTGCCGCTTCAGCTATTTGGTTTAAAATTGTACAGTAGCATCTCTTGAAGAATCAAACAATCAATGACAACGCAGAGTGAGCTTTTCAGGTAAGTATTGTGCTGATTCAGCCATGTGGTTTAAAATTGTAAAGTAGCATCTCTTGTATATTTCAGCAGCATGGAGTTTGTCCACCACCCTAGTTTGGGCAGAATTGATAAAGCATGTCAATTTCTTTGCGAGAAGGCTCAATGTTCAAAATTCGCTTGTGCATTGGCTGGGAATCGAACCCAGGCCTCCAACATGGCAAGCTAGAATTCTACCACTGAACCACCAATGCTTACCTTCAAGGTCAAACGATTTCTCAGAGTGTGATTTGCAGCTAACCAATCTGCAGAATTGATCAGGCTTTTGAAGTTCTGTGATTGAAGGATTAACATTCAGAACTCAGTTGTGCATTGTGCAAGCCCTAGTACATGGCATTTGAGAATTCTACCACTAAACCATCAATCCTTCCTTATCTTAAAGAATCAATGACTTGGCAGAGTGTGCTTTTCAGGTAAGTATTGTGCCGCTTCAGCTATTTGGTTTAAAATTGTACAGTAGCATCTCTTGAAGAATCAAACAATCAATGACAACGCAGAGTGAGCTTTTCAGGTAAGTATTGTGCTGATTCAGCCATGTGGTTTAAAATTGTAAAGTAGCATCTCTTGTATATTTCAGCAGCATGGAGTTTGTCCACCACCCTAGTTTGGGCAGAATTGATAAAGCATTTCAATTTCTTTGCCAGAAGGCTGAATGTTCAAAATTCGCTTGTGCATTGGCTGGGAATCGAACCCAGGTCTCCAACATGGCAAGCTAGAATTCTACCACTGAACCACCAATGCTTGTCTCTAAGTTCAAAGGACTTCACAGAGTGTGATTTGCAGCTAACCATACTGCAGAATTGATAAGTTTAATGAAGTTCTGTGAGTGAAGACTAAATATTCAAGATTCACTTGTGCATTGGCTGGGAATCGAACCGAGGCCTCCAACATGGCAAGCTAGAATTCTACCACTGAACCACCAATGCTTACCTTCAAGCTCAAACGACTTCTCAGGTGTGATTTGTAGCTAACCAAACTGCAGAATTGATCAGGCTTTTGAATTTCTGTGAGTGAAGGATTAATATTCAGAACTCAGTTGTGCATTGTGCAAGGCCTGGTACATGGCATTTGAGAATTCTACCACTAAACCATCAATCCTTCCTTATCTTAAAGAATCAATGACTTTGCAGAGTGTGCTTTTCAGGTAAGTATTGTGCCGCTTCAGCTATTTGGTTTAAAATTGTACAGTAGTATCTCTTGAAGAATCAAACTCTTATCTCAAACAATTAATGACAACGCAGAGTGAGCTTTTCAGGTAAGTATTGTGCCGCCACACAGCTATTTGGTTTAAAATTGTACAGTTGCATCTCTTGAAGAATCAAACTCTTATCTCAAACAATCAATGAGAACGCAGAGTGAGCTTTTCAGGTAAGTATTGTGCTGATTCAGCCATGTGGTTTAAAATTGTAAAGTAGCATCTCTTGTATATTTCAGCAGCATGGAGTTTGTCCAAAACCCTAGTTTGGGCAGAATTGATAAAGCATGTCAATTTCTTTGCGAGAAGGCTCAATGTTCAAAATTCGCTTGTGCATTGGCTGGGAATCGAACCCAGGCCTCCAACATGGCAAGCTAGAATTCTACCACTGAACCACCAATGCTTACCTTCAAGTTCAAACGCCTTCTCAGAGTGTGATTTGCAGCTAACCAATCTGCAGAATTGATCAGGCTTTTGAAGTTCTGTGAGTGAAGGATTAATATTCAGAACTCAGTTGTGCATTGTGCAAGGCCTGGTACATGGCATTTGAGAATTCTACCACTAAACCATCAATCCTTCCTTATCTTAAAGAATCAATGACTTTGCAGAGTGTGCTTTTCAGGTAAGTATTGTGCCGCTTCAGCTATTTGGTTTAAAATTGTACAGTAGTATCTCTTGAAGAATCAAACTCTTATCTCAAACAATTAATGACAACGCAGAGTGAGCTTTTCAGGTAAGTATTGTGCCGCAACAGCTATTTGGTTTAAAATTGTACAGTTGCATCTCTTGAAGAATCAAACTCTTATCTCAAACAATCAATGAGAACGCAGAGTGAGCTTTTCAGGTAAGTATTGTGCTGATTCAGCCATGTGGTTTAAAATTGCAAAGTAGCATCTCTTGTATATTTCAGCAGCATGGAGTTTGTCCAAAACCCTAGTTTGGGCAGAATTTATAAAGCATTTCAATTTCTTTGCCAGAAGGCTCAATGTTCAAAATTCGCTTGTGAATTGGCTGTGAATCGAACCCAGGCCTCCAACATGGCAAGCTAGAATTCTACCACTGAAACACCAATGCTTACCTTCAAGTTCAAAAGACTTCTCAGAGTGTGATTTGCAGCTAACCAAACTGCAGAATTGATCAGGCTTTTGAAGTTCTGTGAGTGAAGGATTAATATTCAGAACTCAGTTGTGCATTGTGCAAGGCCTGGTACATGGCTTTTGAGAATTCTACCACTAAACCATCAATCCTTCCTTATCTTAAAGAATCAATGACTTTGCAGAGTGTGCTTTTCAGGTAAGTATTGTGCGCTTCAGCTATTTGGTTTAAAATTGTACAGTAGCATCTCTTGAAGAATCAAACTCTTATCTCAAACAATCAATGACAACGCAGAGTGAGGTTTTTCAGGTAAGTATTGTGCTGATTCAGCCATGTGGTTTAAAATTGTAAAGTAGCATCTCTTGTATATTTCAGCAGCATGGAGTTTGTCCACCACCCTAGTTTGGGCAGAATTGATAAAGCATTTCAATTTCTTTGCCAGAAGGCTGAATGTTCAAAATTCGCTTGTGCATTGGCTGGGAATCGAACCCAGGTCTCCAACATGGCAAGCTAGAATTCTACCACTGAACCACCAATGCCTGTCTTTAAGTTCAAAGGACTTCACAGAGTGTGATTTGCAGCTAACCATACTGCAGAATTGATAAGTTTAATGAAGTTCTGTGAGTGAAGACTAAATATTCAAGATTCGCTTGTGCATTGGCTGGGAATCGAACCCAGGCCTCCAACACGGCAAGCTAGAATTCTACCACTGAACCACCAATGCTTACCTTCAAGGTCAAACGATTTCTCAGAGTGTGATTTGCAGCTAACCAATCTGCAGAATTGATCAGGCTTTTGAAGTTCTGTGATTGAAGGATTAACATTCAGAACTCAGTTGTGCATTGTGCAAGCCCTAGTACATGGCATTTGAGAATTCTACCACTAAACCATCAATCCTTCCTTATCTTAAAGAATCAATGACTTGGCAGAGTGTGCTTTTCAGGTAAGTATTGTGCCGCTTCAGCTATTTGGTTTAAAATTGTACAGTAGTATCTCTTGAAGAATCAAACTCTTATCTCAAACAATTAATGACAACGCAGAGTGAGCTTTTCAGGTAAGTATTGTGCCGCAACAGCTATTTGGTTTAAAATTGTACAGTTGCATCTCTTGAAGAATCAAACTCTTATCTCAAACAATCAATGAGAACGCAGAGTGAGCTTTTCAGGTAAGTATTGTGCTGATTCAGCCATGTGGTTTAAAATTGTAAAGTAGCATCTCTTGTATATTTCAGCAGCATGGAGTTTGTCCAAAACCCTAGTTTGGGCAGAATTGATAAAGCATGTCAATTTCTTTGCGAGAAGGCTCAATGTTCAAAATTCGCTTGTGCATTGGCTGGGAATCGAACCCAGGCCTCCAACATGGCAAGCTAGAATTCTACCACTGAACCACCAATGCTTACCTTCAAGTTCAAACGATTTCTCAGAGTGTGATTTGCAGCTAACCAATCTGCAGAATTGATCAGGCTTTTGAAGTTCTCTGATTGAAGGATTAACATTCAGAACTCAGTTGTGCATTGTGCAAGCCCTGGTACATGGCATTTGAGAATTCTACCACTAAACCATCAATCCTTCCTTATCTTAAAGAATCAATGACTTTGCAGAGTGTGCTTTTCAGGTAAGTATTGTGCCGCTTCAGCTATTTGGTTTAAAATTGTACAGTAGCATCTCTTGAAGAATCAAACTCTTATCTCAAACAATCAATGACAACGCAGAGTGAGCTTTTCAGGTAAGTATTGTGCTGATTCAGCCATGTGGTTTAAAATTGTAAAGTAGCATCTCTTGTATATTTCAG